TCACTAAAAGAGTATCAAATGGCTACCATCCTAGACTCTTAGGCAACTACAAGTGGGCCAACAAACCTAAAGAGTTACAAACATTACTCTTAAATGCCTGTTAAAGGGAAGATTGTTTAAAGCATGGGTAGACAAACTAAGCCCTGGGGGTCGGATCCTGCCCAATCGCCGTCTAAATCCGGCCTGCAGACGGTCTGGGAATCAGCATGTTTTTACATGAATAGAATGTGTGCTTTTATTTAAAAGGCATCTCTGGGTTATTTGTGGGGCATAAGAATTCATTCATTATTTTTTTTCCAAAATATAGTCCAGCCCCCCACAAGGTCTGAGGGACAGTGGACCAGCCCCCTGCTGAAAAAGTTCACTGACTCCTGGTTTAAAGTGACTGGCAACTCAACCCTTATGCAGATACAGCATGGAGTGATAGATGATGAAATGGTATGTAGAACCAGACAAGAAGCCATCACAACTCTGAGGAAATGTGTCCCCCAAAGACCATGCTCTCCTGACTTTATAATCTGCATACATCTGAAAGTTTTCTGTTCCTGTAGATTTAGCCACAAGGCCCACTATAACTTCATTACACTATAACAAAGCCCAAAGGGCAATCTGCATCAGAGAAAAGATGGAAGGAAGAGAGTTGCTCAAATCACTTCCTTCCGCCTATCAATTTCCCCCTGAAATTTCCCATCCCTATTTAAATTTCTAACCCTGTGATTTTCCAGACCCATGTCTGCAAGGTAAACATGGATCTGCGATACTAGCAGAAACTAAAGGAACAGATTGCAGAGAGGATCTTCAGGGTCAAGAGAGCTAGCAGAGAAGGCTTAAGCCAGGCATGGCCAAACATGCCCTCCAGCTGTTTTGGGACTACAATTCCCATCATCACTGACCGCTGGCCCTGTTAGCTAGGGATGATGGGAGTCATAGTCCCAAAACAACTGGAGGGCCTGGCTTAAGCATTCCCTTCCTTCTCACCTCTTCTCCCATGCAAAACAGTGCCTCCAGGGATGCTTTGCAGTGAGAAAGAGGCTTTGCTACATTTGAATGTACTGTAACATACTTAACACTGTTTGAACTACATGGTTAAACTAGCCACAGTTCTCTTCCCAAATATGGTTACAACTTATCTTCTAGAAACTGTGGTCCTACCATTTTTCGATAGGGGTGGCCACATTAGTCTTTTGCTGCAAAAACAATGAAGAGTCTGTCTGGTAGCACCAAAAAGACAAGTTGTGTTGTTGTTGTTGTTGTTGTTGTTGCAGTCATGTTGACTATGAGTATAAAATCCAACAGAAAGCATGCACTTGCATGAGGAATAGTTATCTAACCAAAAAGGACTGATTGTCTTTATTCTAGAATCTAAGCAGACACCTAGATTTTCAGAAGTGGTATACCTCTGAATAATATGATGGGCACAAGTGGAGGAAGTATTGTCACACGCAAGTCCTGCTTGCAGGCTTCCCATGAGCCACTGTGAGAACAGAATGCTAGATTAGATGGGCCTTTGGCCTAATCCAACAGGGATCTTTTTCTGTACAAGTTTAGGTGATCTTTGTTTTTGTTTCATTTTTAAGATTTCTAACCGAACTTCACAGCTGATTCCCAAAACCAAAGGCAACCTTTAGCACTATTAAAAGGCCAACTTCCCTTTTCATAACTTGCTTGGGTTTTAGGCGTAGAACAAGTGCACATTGCCCAAATAAGCACCAAGTGCAATTTCTCAACTACAAATCACAATAGCGACTGCACAACCCCCACAATATTTCTATAGGCTTGAAGCTTCTATTGTTGTTGAAAAGGCCCTGGAAATAGCTTTAAAGCCTCAGGTAAGGAATGGAGTAGGAAAGTTAACAGGGAATCAGTGAAATGCTTTAAACAAAGATATTAGCAAAAATTAAAGTAATAAGATTAAATTAATAAGAAAACTGAACAATACAGGAACAGGAGAAGTTGGAAAATATGAGATATGAGGTGGTACAAGTTAGGAGCCTGTTTTCTCTATTTCTCTTCCCACCCTCTCTCCTTTGTAGCTCTATTCTTGAAGTACTCTATTGTTCTGAGCTCTGCGGAGCTTAATGAACTTTGTAAGTATTTCTGGCACTACAGCTTACACTCTCAAACCTTAACATCAGTCCTTAACTGGAAGACTTGTACAGGAATCACACAACTGGACTCATATGAAGGCCTAGTCACACAGTGACCAGATTGCCAGTACTTTTATCTGTACTAGTGATCTTACCAGCCTGGCTCTATTGGTGGCTACAATACTCAGAATGTGCTCCAGAATTTCCTACATAGACAAGGCCTGTGTGTTACTGCACATTAGATCCAGCATTTGTCATTCCAGTACTAGATCCAAGTGCCAGAATTACAGTATATTGGTTCAACAAGACCAGCCATGACAGGAAATAATCTGCCCATTGCAGGCTCTCCTGTGGATCTACTAACATTTGTGAGAGAAAAGTGAGGAGAAAATGAAGGACGGATATACACTTCAAACTTAAAATGCTTTGGTACCAATCCAACTAGCATGGTTTCATCAAAGATCCTTGGAACATGAAGTTCTACAAGCGCGCTGAAAATCGCACTGAAGATTTCTAGTCCACATCATGGAACTAAACTTTCAAGGATTCCCCGGGGAGGAAAGAAGTATTAAACCAGTGTAAGTCTGTAGTGTAAGAGTCTGCATCAAAATAAAGTATTAAAAGAAGGCATGCCTGCAGATATCACTGCAAAACAAATGCTGTGTATAAGAAAAAAGTTGTAGAATGGTAGGTACTATGAATCAAAAGGAACACAGCAACTGGGAAAAGCAGGGAAACAATGGGATTAAGGAAAAAGTGGTTATTGAAAGAAACAGAAAAATTCAGGACAAATAATTTAAATAATAATAATAAGAGAGCAAACAGGAATATAATGTAAGTTACCAAAACTTAACAAAAGGGGAGAAATGCCAGAGCTTTGAAACAAACAAAAAGAACACAAGATTTTCACAAGTATACTGGAAAGTAGCCTGAAAACTTCCATCTTAATAATGGCCCATTTAACAGTGAAATGTGCTATCCTAATGGTCCAACTCAGAACAGCTTTCCAGTTCTACAGAGGCAGAGAAGTTTCTGCTGGTACCTACCTTACATTTATGCCTCCACAAACTCACACATCAACAAAGAGCCAGCATTCACCTGCATCTCACCCAGGCAGATTCAATGTAGACCACACCTTCCAAAATGTCCACCTTCCCTTCAATCTGATCATTTCAGCATCCCGTTCATGGTTCAGCCAGCACCCCCAGTCACAAAAAACACTCTTCCCAGTCACTGTCCTGAGAATCCATATTTCAAGCAAGAGGCAGTCTCTCTGCCCCCCCCCCTTGGTGCCCGCCAAACTGCATTACATAAGCAGATCCAAACTGACAGAATTGCAGGCATTAACAAAATCAACATCATACCCCCAGCGTATTAACATCCAGACCCAAGTGGATTCCACACTAGTCTGATGCACACATCCCAACCTCTCTATCGCAGTTTCCACTTAACACTTTCAGTTGATAACAAAGCCACAAAGGGAAGAGGGAGAGAGAAATAGCAGAAGTAACTCACCTTCCTTCTTCTCTTAAGACCAAAAAAATATATATTAAAACTAAAAACCAGGACTCTCTGAGGAGTAGCTGGAACATTCTGCAAAGTCTTTGGGAGAAGTTGGAGAAGTCTGGATAAACTGTTGAAAAGACCAGATAAACCCAGAAGGGGAGATGGAGAGTTCATCCGAGTTTCCTCTTTTGTTCAAGTTCCCTGAGCAGACAAAGAACCAGCAAGCGGCAGCAGGTTTCTCCCTCTCACCCCCTTTCCCTCCCTCCCCCTCCCTCTCCCCACCCACCCCCATCCAAGAGCACCTCAAGTCTAACTTCAGCCTTCTCTTCTTCTTTTGAACAGATCCTGCCCTGCAACTTTTTTTCCTCTCCCCCCCAAAAAAGAAGCCTCTCGTAGACTTCCCTTTGCGCCTCATCACAGCCTCCAGTTCAAAACTTCCCTCTAACTGAGCCTCCCTAGAAAAACAATTTTAATGGAGGCGGGAGGGGGCAAGGAGGAGAATCTCTCAAATCATTATTTCCGGTAGATGCACCTCTTTGTTTGGATTCCCCTTGACGGTCATTGAGAACAATTCCCCTCGGTATTCGGGCTAGGCGCGATTCCCCTTCCCAGCCCCCTCCTCTTACGATTCCCAAGAACAAGGTCTAGATTTCCCGAAAATGGGAAAGATATCCTCACACCCAAAGTGAAGGAGGGGGGGAGGTGCAGGATAGGGGAGGCCAGCAAGATGTAGGGTTAACACGTTTCCCTTTCACTTTTGGAAACGTCTCCATCCAGCCAAGGGGAACAAAAGCGTCCTCGCGCAAAGGAGCTCGGCAGCAACCAGCTTTTGACATCTCCCTACCTGTTGCACAGCGAGAGGGAGGGAGCGGTGGGAACGAGAGCACCCGGCAGCCCATAATAATAGGGACTCGCCAAGCTTTTCACCTGTCCTCCCTGAATAGGGGCTACTGGAGCCGCTTCCCAAAATGAAACGGAAGGGGGTCGAGGAACGCAAAGAGTGTGGGGACTAGGGAAGAAAGACAAAAACAGTCCTCCCCCCCCCAACCCCGCCGCCTCCATTCTCATCTACAAACCATCGTTTTCAGTTGTCTCCCAAAAGCAACAAGTCTTAGTCCCAGCCTGTTCGTTCCACTTGCTCCATATTTTTATCAATGAGAAGGAGGGGAAGTACACAAACACACCCGGACGCCAAGAGCACATTCTAATCCCAGACTAAACCGCCTGCCACTGAGGCTGCAGCTTCCTAACTAATGCGCACAGCAAAGGCCGGGCTGGGGAGGGGAGGGATATTGAACACACAAAAAGAAAACTTTTGCTGTTATAAGGTCCCGCTGTTTTGGGGAGGATGGGGGGAGAAGAATGGTTAAAGTTCGCGGCGCTCCACAAAAGAGAAACGCAACTCACCTTAGGAGACAGAAGGATAACCCCTTCCGCTTTCTCCTCCTTCCTCTTCCAAACGGTTGGACGGGGCGGCGGGGGGAGGAGGAGGAGAAAACAATGCAATTGCGGCGGGTCCGTCTATCTGAGCTAAGTGGCTCCCCCTCGGCTGCCCGCCCGCTCCTCGCGTCCCCCGGCACCAAACAAAGGCGCAGCCAAGAGCTCGGCTTCCTTTGCGCTTAACTTTTTTCTCACATCGATCCCGCTTCTGCAACTTTTGCCCAAGTCGGGTGCCTAGTTGCGGAGACATGAAAAGGACACAAAAGGAAAAATTAAGGCACCAGCCCCCGCCCCCCGAGCCGCCGCTATTGCATTGTGCCATCCTCCATGCCATGCTGTACGATTTCGATCTTTAAAAACTAATACTAAAGCGGGGTGGGGGAAGGGGATGTGGATCATAGCGAGCCTGGAAGTTGGGGAAAGTCCACAAATTCTTCCTCTCTTTCCAATGGCCTGCGCGCGCTTTGTTTTGGATACCACGAGGAAAGGCGTTGTTAACCCCAAGGAGGAGGGGGAGAAAACGCTGAGCGCGTCGCGGCGCCAAATAATCCCTTTGTGCGCACGTGCGCAAAAAGTTGAAGATGTTCCGAGTTCCGACCGCGCCTTGTTCTTGAGCAACGAGTCGCGGCCGGGTCTCCCTTTAGGCCCCCTTACAGAACAGCGCCTGCCCCAGCAAGCAGCGCCCGGAAAGCTCCGCGGCACTTCTCCTCCAGTCCCCACGGCTAACTTCCACCAAGGCCGCGCCAATATGCTCTTTAAAACAAACAAACAAGCTTAATTCTGAGTTGGTTCCCTACAACGTCCCCAGGTCGCTTTACCTACCTTGCCGGTCTACACCTGCAGGGAAATTGGGCAGTAGAATTGACTGCACCACTTTAGACTGCAGGTGAGAGAGCGCCAATTTAAAACAAAAAGGAACAAACCTGAAATCAAAACATTTAGCGCATTAGAGAGGAACTTTTTTTAGGGCAGGCAGCAAATTTGTTACTTGTAAATAGTTTTTTTTAAAAAAAACAACCACAAACAACTTAGTAAAAAGGGATATTCGAAAATGATATCCCTTCTGCTGTCCACAATCTGAAACTGGCACGGTCTATTCCACCACCACTGGTAACAACAACACCTCCTTCTATTGTGTCACTATTCTGACCTTGAGGAAAAGATTCCAAGTTGTGTGGATTCATTCCCATGGCACTTCACCCCTGGAAGTGCTTCTGAGTGAACCTCCTACCTGTATGTAGATAGCAGGAGAGGTCAGAAAGCCATAGAATGTTTGGCCTCAGAATCAAGTGGGTCTGTTGAGCACTCCCGGCTAAGTTCAAAAACTGTTGTGGCAGGAATTCAACCATTCAAAAGAAATGTTGTTGTTTAGTCATTTAGTCGTGTCCAACTCTTCGTGACCCCATGGACCAGAGCACGCCAGGCACTCCTGTCTTCCACTGCCTCCCGCAGTTTGGTCAAACTCATGCTGGTAGCTTCGAGAACACTATCCAACCATCTCGTCCTCTGTCGTCCCCTTCTCCTTGTGCCCTCCATCTTTCCCAACATCAGGGTATTTTCCAGGGAGTCTTCTCTTCTCATGAGGTAACCAAAGTATTGGAGCCTCAGCTTCATGATCTGTCCTTCCAGTGAGCACTCAGGGCTGATTTCCTTCAGAATGGATAGGTTTGATCTTCTTGCAGTCCATGGGACTCTCAAGAGTCTCCTCCAGCACCATAATTCAAAAGCATCAATTCTTCGGCGATCAGCCTTCTTTATGGTCCAGCTCTCACTTCCATACATCACTACTAGGAAAACCATAGCTTTTACTATACAGACCTTTGTTGGCAAGGTGATGTCTCTGCTTTTTAAGATGCTGTCTAGGTTTGTCATTGCTTTTCTCCCAAGAAATGTTGGGTCAGTCCAATTGACTAAATCCATCTAGACCTACATTCAGTGCTATTTTTCTAGAAAAAGAGGTGCCGGAACTCACCCTTATAATGGCAGTAACGCCCACCTGAGAGGTGCCGGAACTGAGGTCCAGCAAGTTCCAGCTGGGGAAAAAACCCTGCCTACAATTCCTTCTTCTGGGGAGGCTGGATTTACTGTGAAGAGAGGTACAGGGTAGCAGAGGGCTTGAGCAGAACTGAGGTGGGCAGCCTTATTGAAGAGGGTTGTATACCTGCTTCAGTTCCAATGGGGGGTGGTACCTACTGTGACTGGCAGAACAGAAGGCTGGGAGACCAACAGTAGGCAGTGCCATTGGCCATGACAGGAAGAGGCAGCTAATTCTACTCCCCCCCCCCACCTCGCTGGGAGGAACAACACTGAGACTGAGGAGGAGGAACTGACAGCCATTGCCATCCCCGGATTGGTGATAAGTATGAAAGCAGGCAGGTGGGGGCTGGGTGAGAGCAAACTGGGACCAGTGGGGCAGTGCCTCAATCCCCCTAATGGACCAGCATCCACTGGTCAACCCTGATGGTAAGAAGCACCCCACCTTCAAATGATCACCCCCACCTCATATCAGGGGTAAATCAGTCTGTAGACCATGAGACTCTTACTCTCAGGGTCACGGGTTTGAGCCCCACATTCCTTCCAACTCTATAGTTCTTTTGATTCTGCTGCTTAAAAACCCAGTGGCTATTTGCTGCTGTCTTCTCTGGGTTGCTTGAAAAAGGAGGCGCCGGCTCATAGGAACGCTTCCTACTGCCATGACAATGTGAACACCACGGAATAGAATATGCAAGCAAGGAAATGTAGCTAGGAATACATCCTGTTTCAGTGAGAAAGCCATAATTCATGTCAGTGACTTCTGAGAATGGAACTGGGTGTTGGTGGTGTGTAATGGACGCTAAACACTGAATCTGAAAGTATGATTTTATATATCTGGTGTCTGACTTGGATTAGTACCCACCTTGCAAGACTCAACTCCTCCACAACATCCAAAGCATCCTGAAAATTGTGGGATGGGCGTCAGTGGCACTATGGTATGGTGGTTGTCTTCCTACCTGCAGGGTCATGTCCGGAGACATGCATTTGGGAGAGTTCCCTTAAGCCCCCTGATGTTTACAGTTCACTGTTTTATCTACATGAAGTTGCAGGGAGTGGTCATTAGGTGTTCTGGAGCAAGGTGTCATGATGCCCATCTCTGTTTCTCCATTGCATCTGAGTCAGATGAGGCTGTGCAAGCCCCGGGTGCAGTGGTGGACGGGACAAGAATAAACTGAGCTGTGTCCTGCAAAAACAGAGGCTTTCTGGGAGAGAGGTTCCCATGCACAAGAGTTAGCCCAATTACCTGTTCTGGTTACCTAGGTTTGCACTTAATCTGAAGGAGTTTGAGGGTAGTGGTCCATCTTTATCACAAATGTCCCAAGTGACCTCTGTGACTAGGTGTGCCTTCTATCATCTTTGCCTGATATTCCAGCTGTGACCATTCCTGGACCAAGGTAGTCTGACTACAGTTGTCCATGTATTGGTAACCTCAATACTTTACTACTGTTCACTACTGTGGGGCTGCCCTTGTATCTAGCATGTCTTGTATGAGACGTGGGGAGGGGGAGAAGAAGAGAATCCTATTGCAGTAATCTAGCTGAAGAATTTAGTTGAATAGCACCCCCCAAAAAAAAATCCTTAATTTTTTAATGACTGCATGGTGGCTGTAGAAACAGGCTTTATCCTGACTTTCAAATAAGTCCAGTCCATTTACAGTCCTTTTACTACACCGCCTGTCCACACACAGGTTTAAAAGCAGGTTTTTTAAAAAAATTGAAGTGAACATTTTACAAATACTTCTCTGTCCGTTGACCTAGGGGTGATTCCTATTTAACCAGTCAACCATTTATTTATTTTAAAGAAATCATATCCCATTCAAAATGATATTTTCTAACACAGCTCTCCTTAATTTTAGGAAAAACAGCATATAGGAATAAAAGTGTATCACAAATTAAAAGAAGTTTCTTGCTATTTGTTGTTTCAAGCTTCATAGAACTGAAGGTTACAGGTGTTGATCTAGTAGTCCTACACATAACGTTGGAAACAATGCAAAAATACTTGCCTGTGACTTGCTGGGACATTTTTAAAAGGGATATCATAGTGTTCAAATCGTGGTGAAAAAAGTTGTCTTTTACTATCAGATGAAGATGTGCACTTTAGATGGGACCCAGAAGGGCTGTAAAATAGCAACAGAAGACTTAATAAAGTTGGTTTTCGTTCCCGTGTCTTGCCATCCCAATCTAATATCTCTCAACCACAGAAATGCATTTATCACTTTGTTTCACTTCAGCCCAGGCCCTCCCATTATGTAGCTCACATTCAGCTACAATTAGATAATGCTACATGTATATTTTTCCCTTGTGAGCTTCAGGAGGCCCAAGGAGATATATTTCTACAAGATTAAAAATTATCCTTGCACATCAGGATCTTTCTACTACTAATTCTTAAGGTTTCCAGTCAGCTGAGATTTTGTCCTCTTGGCCACTTGCCAGGATTGGAGGCTGCAGACACAGAAAAGATTCCAAGTAAGCCATTTTGAGGAATGAGGAGCTCCCATCTTCAAAGTGAAGAAGTTGCAATTTTCTGGATGTGAAAAAATAACACATTTTACCACCTTTAATTCTTTTATTTCTTTAAAACGTTGTTAAAATAGTTTATACTGCTTTTCTGGGCATCTGACCATCCAAAGCAGTTTACAACTAAAAACAATATTAAGTTAAAAGAACAACAATACAAATTTCTAAAACGTAAAACTGCAACTCAGCAATATCCCATAGAGCTGGTGGGAAAGCATAGTTCAACCATACTATCACCCAGCTAATTTACACCATGCCTTGAAGGCCAGTTGAAAAATATAAGAAAATTCTATAGCCATGGGACCACCATAGAGTTAGAACTGTCCCTTGTGGCCATCCACCTTAATAGACCTGGGATACAAGGAGGACCAGAAGGTTGGCAGTTGGAATCCACATGACAGGGTGAGCTCCTGTTGCTCTGTCCCAGCTTCTGCCAACCTAGCAGTTTGAAAGCACACCAGTGTGTGTGCTGCTGTGGTGGGAAGGTAAACGTTTCCGTGCACTCTGGTTTCCATCACAGTTGCACCAGAAGTGGTTTAGTCATGCTGGCCACATTAACTGGAAAGCTGATGGTCTGAAAGCGAGATGAGCGCCACACCCCATAGTCGCCTTTGACTGGACTTAGCAATCCAGGGGTCCTTTACCTTTCTTTTACAAGGAGGACGTATAATAAATACAATTTTGCAGCATGTTTTTAGTGAGAATGTATTTTGGACTTGGTCTTCCAATTCCACCAGGCAGGTGAAATGTTCTGCTCAAAGCAGAACCCAAAGCCCTTCAGTCGAGTAAAGCCTTTCATTTATAACCACAGGCTGCTGCCACGCTAGGCAGTCAGGGAAGGACAGACAA